CTAAACACGTTTAATTTTGTGTCCATTTAAAAACACATTCCTGTGCGCGTTGATTATACTGAAACACGTTGATCAACAGCACAACGATAGAACATCTGCAGCTTCCAAGGACGCGCAAGCTTTATAGGTCCCCAAACTCTCGGAAAGAGGGGTACTATAAATAAAAAGTCTATCTCAGTTATATCAGACCCTAGAAAACCTATACTATTTTGGACATTGTGTCTCACTGGCTGTTTAAAATCAATTGTTAAAGAAGTGTTTTCATTATGTTATTCATTAAGGCAACGAATGAAAATCTGCAGCTTCCAATGACATGCAAGCTGTATAGGTCACCAAACTCTGGCAGTCATTTTCGCGAGCATTTGGTCGTTTTTAAGCTCAAGGGGGCTGTCCCAAAAAGTGCTGTTATGACAAAATCGAAGTTGAAGTTTCTGGACCCTTGTTCAGCTTCTTTAAAAGACAAGGAGAGTTTTCTATATAACCAAACAAATATACACACCAATGAAACCATACTTCTCTCTACAGGTAGGGCAATGCCTACTTTTGGTGCAGGTCAAGATTTCTGGAAACCCTCGAAATCTCGGTTAGCACGCTTGTCCTTAAAAGCGACCATTTCACCTTTGACCCCACCTCCTTCATTCGCAAACACCTCAACTTCTCTTCAAGTTTGAAAGGATTTTCTTTCTTTTTTTTGGGGGGGGGGGAACCAAAAGCAAGAATAGTAAACAAAGCTTTGACTCATTAAGGGCTGGCTGTTTTTGGGTCCTCAAAAAAATAGATGCTTTGACTGATGTTGCTAAATGTGTACTTGAACTGGATACGACAAAATCATAATTACAAGTATTATTGTTTGTTTTCAAAAATAATAAACGTTTATTACCTGACTTATTGTAACTTAAGTTCGTTTTAAAAAAAACAACAACTCATGAAGAGCTCGCTGTTTTGGGGTTCTCAAAAAATAGATGCTTTACCTCGTTATGTGTGCCATTTATTTTTCAATTCTGTTTTCTTTACATAAAACATTAAAAGGCAGGCTACAACATGTATACTGTAAAATATGGGAAAAATTGTGTTGCTCGTTTGATTATGCAGGTTCGAAATGTGCCGTAACATTGCCTTAGGCCCTCTGCATGTCTGATATATTAGATCTATGGCTAGGCGCGAACAGGGCAACTTTAGTTGCGCAACTGTTTTCTCACCCAAATGTAAATAATTAAATAAAAGTAAAAGCACCGCGCGCACAGGCAACTCGGGTTTTTAGAGACTGAAAAATTTGTGTTTTGTCAGAACTTTCCGGCAACGCAACTGTTGCTCAAATCTCCAGTGTTACATACCAAACTGACACACAGCGGGCATAGGCAACCAAACTGTGTCTGGACTCGACAAGGCCCGTCACTCCCCATATTTTTTCACTCAGCGCAACAGACTTGACACAGAGGTACACACAATACAATGTTTCACTTCCGCAAGAAAAGAAAATGGATGGCGATCCCACTTAGATTGAACAATTTATTTCTATCATTGAAAAGAAGCCTGTCCTCAACAACGAGACCTCATACGCTAATAGTTAGAAAACTTGGGAAGGTATGCTCTCAAGTCTTCATGCAGTTTGACAAAATGCCCTTTTAAAACCCTATGACTGGTCAAAGGGTGAATCTCAAACCGCCTTTTCCTTTTCTTCTTTCTAGGTGCAATCACAAGAGCACAGACAACAACTGCGTCGCGGAAGTCCATGACGTCAAATGAGGAAGTCAGTAATGATGATAGCCTACTGTTGCCTGGCGGTTGCTTAGCTCTGTGCGCGCGGTGTAGAAAATAAGTTGCCCCGAGACAGCAACTGTTGCGCGACTAAAGGTACCTTGCACGCCTCGCCTATGCGTCCGTTACGCAGTTAGAGAGTTAAGAAGACACGAACAACAATAATTTTTAGAAATATGCCTCAAAACTGACGAGCGCCTGATTCCATCGTATCGTGACTCATATTTGTCTGTTGTTTTGGGGTTGTTGTTTATTTTTCAAATGGGAAAAAAGAGGGG